TTCTTACTCTTTCAATATGTATCTTTCTTTCTTTCTTTCTTTCTTTCTTTCTTTCTTTCTTTCTTTCTTTCTTTCTTTCTCTGTTTCTTTTTCTCTCTCACTGTCAATATGTATATTTCTCTCTCCCTTTCGGTATACATCTTTCTTTCTTTCTCTCTCTATTCCAATGTGCATCTTCCTCTTTCTCCTTCTTTTTCAATATGCATCTTTCTCTCTTGCTCTCTCTCTCTCTCTCTCTCTTTCAGTATGCATCTTTCTTTCTGTCTTTCAGTATCTATCTTTCTCTCTCTTTTTCAATCTATATTTTTCTTTCTCGGTCTCTTTCAATACGTATCTTTCTTTCTTTCTTTCTTTCTTTCTTTCTTTCTTTCTTTCTTTCTTTCTTTCTCTCTCTCTTTAAAGATATATCTTTCTTTTTTCTCTCTCTCTTTAAATATATATCTTTCTTTCTTTCTCTCTCTCTTTCAATACGTATCTTTCTTTCTTTCTCTCTCTTTTTCTCTCAGTATGTATCTTTATCTTTTCTTTTTCTCTCTCTTTCAGTATGTATCTTTTTCTTTCTTTAACTCTCTTTCAATATCTATCTTTCTCTCTTTCCCTTTTTCAGTATGTATCTTTCTCTCTTTCACTTTCTCTCTCTCTCTTTCAATATGTACCTTTCTTTATCTCTTTCTCTTCCTTCCTCTCTTTTTCAATATGTATCTTTCTCTCTTTCTCTATCTTCCCACTCTCTCTTTCAATATGTATCTTTCTCTTTCTCTTTCTCTAGCTCTTTCTCTATTGCTATAAATTAAAGGAATTTTTTTTGTCGGTGAACAAAGGAAGAATTCAAATTTTTATCTCATTTTCTTAATTTTCCCGTGATTACGTTTAAAATTTTCGCTTAGCAACCTGCGCAAAAATTGTTTATGTCAAAAAGGTGTTTTAAAAAAATAAATAAATAACCTCTGTGTGTATGTGTTTGTGCATGTGTTTGTATGTATGTGTGTGTGTGTATGTGTGTGTGTGTGTGTGTGTGTGATTGCGTGTGTGTACGTGCGTGTGTGTACGTGCGTGTGTATTCAACATTTTTGGCCTCTCCACCTGTTTGTGCAAATGGCCGCAGCGTACGTGCACAGTGTCGAGAGGTTGGTCGTGAAAATTATGACTTTAGCCTGGGAACTGTTTTTTCTTATTAAACTATAAAACAAGAACAACAACAACAACAACAACAACATCAACAACGACGACGATGACGACAACAATAAATACAATGATATGAAGTGAAAACTAAAACGCGAAGTGGATTTGACCGTCTCTTCGTCTCAACCGTGCCCTGCATAAAACAGATATAAAGCAGACGATTTCGCATCGGTCAGAAACTATGTACAACTCTCCAAAATTATTAATAGCAACTTGACTTTTTTCATCTTTAATAGGTCCCCTCTTTTCTGTTGGTTCACAGAAATCGCTTTCTTTTTTTCCTTTTTCTTTTCTTTTGTAATGTTTTTTTTTTTCATTTCTTCTTCATATTCGATTCTACATTGTTCTTCAAATTCACAATCTTGTTTTGTTTAACGTTTCTTTCATTCCTTGTATACTTTTTATCTGTGTGAACTTACTTTTTTCTTTTCTTTGTTTCCTTCACGCTTTCTTTTCCTCGTCTCTTTTTCTTTATTCATATTTCTTTCTTTCTTTCTTTCTTTTTTCATCCATTTTCCTTTTTCATTTTTTGCTTTGGTTATTTCTTTGTTTATCTTTTTTTCTTTCTTTCTTTCTTTCCTTTTCTTTCTTTCTTTCTTTCTTTCCTTTTCTTTCTTTCTTTCTTTCGTTTTTCATCCATTTTCCTTTTTCCTTTTTTTCTTTGGTTATTTCTTCGTTTCTTTCTTTCTTTCTTTCTTTCTTTTTTTCTTTCATTCATTTATCTTTTTTCTTTCCTTTTTCTTCTTTCCTTCCTCCAGTGATTTTTTCATTCTTTCAGCATTCTTTCTTTCATCGCCTCTGATTTCTTCCTGAATTTGTATTTCTTTGTTTCTATCTTAATGAACAAAAATACAACTTGAAGTGACTTTGTATCATTATTCATTTCTCTGTCTGTTAGAGAGAGTGGGGGTAAGAGCAAGAGAGGGGGTAAGATACAGAGTGAGAAAGGGAGGGAAGAAAGGTGAGGGAGAGCAGAGTGTGTGTATGTGTGTGTATGTGTGTGTGTGACAGAGTTTGTGTCCTGGGTGCGGTCATGAAAAAGAGGAAGTATGAATGTATGCGAAAAAAATAAAAATTTGAGAAAATATAAAGTTGCATGAATAAAACAAACCCAAAGAAAAAAAGAAAGAAAGAAAGAAAGAAAAGAAAAAAAAAGAAAGAAAGAAAGAAAGAAAGAAAAAAAGAAAGAAAGAAAGAAAAAAAGAAAGAAAGAAAGAAGATGAACAAATGAAAAAAAAAAGAAAAATTACGACTGAAAAATAGAAGAAAAAAGAAAGAAATGAAAAAGTGAGTAATTAAAAAAAGAAGATAATATTGCGAATGAAAAACATCCGAATAAAATAAAAAAAGAAAAAGAAAAAAGAAAAAGAAAGAGAAAATTGTTGCTGAGAAAAATAAAATCAAAGGAAAAAACGTGAAGAAAGAAACAAAGAAAGAATTTTTTTTATAAAAAAAAAAATGCAACAATAAAAGAAAAAAGAAATAAAGAAAATTTATCGTTGAAGAAAACGAATAAAATGAAAAATAGGAAGGGCTTTATCTATGTAAAATGTGTTAGTGTTTCTGTTTTTTTTTAATTATTTGGTCAGTGGAAAATGACATGATGTCATTTCTAACCTTCGGTCCTTGGGCTGAAACTAGAAAGCAATGTGTACACACCAGAAATCAAATAAAATAATAATAATAATAATAATAATAATAATAATAATAATTTATAATAATAATAATAATAATAATAATAATAATAATAATAATTTATAATAATAATAATAATAATAATAATAATTTATAATAATAATAATAATAATAATAATAATAATAATAATAATGAAATCGAAATCTCAAAAATGTGATACATGAGAATATCAACAATTCCAGTTGTAGTTGGAGCCCTCGGGTTGATTGGAAAAGATTCCAATAGACTCATTGAAGGGATTCCTGGCAGTCCATGCCTTAAAGAAATACAAAAAAATTGTCCTCACGAGTACAGGCCACACCTTACGAAGGGCTTTATCTATGTGAAATATGCGTGATTTTTTTTATAATTGCTCAGTGGAAAATGTCATGATGCCATTTCTGACCTTAGGTCTCTGGTCGGGATGCAGAAAGAAATCAATATACACAAGAAATCAAAGGAAATAGAATGAATAATAATAATTATAATAATAGTAATAACCACAGACGACTGCAATTTTAACGAACAACTTAACATAAACATTCTGGGAAAATATCCAGAATCCCCCGACTTTTCAAACCTTAAAACGCATGTGAAAACTACTAACGTCCTAACCCCGATGGGTGATGTAAATGATAAGAGAGATTTCTATAAGGTTTATACTAAACTATCCTATTATAATTGCGCTTATCTCTTCTTTCGTTAATTAGCACTACCATTACGCCCTGCCAATACCTCATAGATTATAGATCATTCCGTTTTGATGCGAAAAGAGTGGAAGAGTCACTATTTGGTTTCAATGAGGAAATGAATGAAAGAAAGACAGAAAGAAATAAAGAAAGAAGGGAAAATAAAAGTGTTTAGCGTCACCTGCTATTACCTCATAAATAATGGACTATTCCGTGAAAAGACATTACTTGAATGAATGAAAGAAAGAAGTATTTAACGCATCCTGCCAATACCCAATAAATAATGAACTATTCCGTTTTTATCGCGTGAAAAGAGGGGGAAAACAAACTACTTGAGTGAATAAAAGTAAGAAAGAAAGAAAGAAAGAAAGAAAGAAAGAAAGAAAGAAAGAAAGAAAGAAAGAAAGAAAGAAAGAATGACTGAAGGGAAAATAAAAGTGCTCAGCGTCTCCTGCTATTACCTCATAAATAATGGACTATTTCGTATTTATCGCATGAAAATAGGGGGAAAATACACGACTTGAATGAGTAAAAGTAAAGAAAAAAAGAAAGAAAGTGTTTAACGGCTGTTTCACTGAAATGGGGAAAAAGTTGTCAATTTTAAATCTTTTCATTTGTACCCACTTCTTAAAAATAACGACCAGCATTCGAATTTATGACTATCATTGCGATATTTTCTTAAAGTTGTTAAGCTCAAATATTTAGCGATGCGATAAGGGACTTTCTATGGGTATGCTATTGTCGTAAATCTCGCCATGAGCTTATTCACTCATTAGCTTAAGAATAAAGAGAAGAGCCATCAGAAAATTCAAATACGACCGTGGAATATTCACGGGTCATTCTACTTTGATTAATTCCTCTTAGTAACTAATCAACTAACGGAAAATGTACAACCCTATCATGTTACTCACGTTCCAGTTGCATTCCCTTCGCGCAGGGCGCGTTTCGCTTTGTCACATTGATAACCAGTACAACCATTTTTTCTCAAGACAAGCTACGTTTGTATATGATAGATTCTTCTTGTGTACCTAGTTAATATGAGTAAGAGTCACCATCATTTCATAACATTGGTAGGATTTGTATATATATTTTTGTATACACAACTGTACATATATTTTTTTTAAATTTAAGTCATGGGGTGTTTTTCAGTAGGGGCCCTATGTGTGTGAGGTATTTTGGTGTATGTAGGAGAGAATAGTGACAGAGAGATCTCTATGGTGAACGAGTAAAGTATAACGAATTAATGTGTCGTGAATCTGATTAGCTAGGTATAAGATAGTTAACGTCGACCATCTTTGTCCCTATCTCTCCCCTTTTTTCGGCCTTGTGCCACAGTTACTGTATTCAATCAGTAATAAATTGTAGATAAGTGACGTTTGTACAAAGACTTGTATTTTTATATTCTTATACTTGTATGCATATAGTGTTAAAATATTATTAAACATTATTAAACAATGTGTCTTTTCTTTTTTTTTTTCTTTGTCGTTCCTTTTCTTCTTTTCCTTTTCTTCTTTTCCTTTTCTTCTTTTTCTTCTCTTTTCCTTTCCTTTTCTTTTTCTTTTCTTTTTGTTTTTCATTCCTTCTTCTTTTTCTTTTCTTTTTCTTTTCTTCTTCTTTTCTTCTTCTTTTTCTTTTCTTTTCTTTTTTTCTTTTTTTTTTTTTTCTTTTTTTTCTCCTTCTCTTTTCCATTCCTTTTCTTTTTCTTCTCTTATCCTTTCCTTTTCTTTTTCTTTTTCATTCCTTTTCTTCTTCTTCTTTTCTTTTTCTTCTTTTGTTTTCTTTTTCTTTTTTCTTTTCTTTTTCTTTTTCTTTTCTTCTTCTTTGTCTTTTCTTTTTCTTTTCTTTTCTTTTCTTTTTCTTTTCTTACATCGCGTTCTCCTGTAAATCTTACAAAATATACGAAGACTTACGTAAATCACTTTGCTTGTTAATAATAATAATAATAATAATAATAATAATAATAATAATATGGGACTACACAATACACAGACAGAACAATGAAAGCTAACCGCCTAGACCGCAAACAAAAAATGTGCCTCCTTATATCCAGAATCCCACGATCTTTCAAACCCTAAAACGCATGAAGATAATCAAAATACAAGGACCTTGAAATCGAAAATGTGGCACATGGAAAGATCAACAATCTCTGTTGTAGTTGGAGCCCTCGGATTGGTTGGAAAAGATTCCAGCAGACTCACTGAAGGGATTCCTGGAAGCCTAAGCCGTAACGAAATACAAGAAATTGTTCTCACGAGCACAGCACACACCTTACAAAGGGCTTTATCTATGTAAAATATTTTTTTTTTTTATTGGTCAGTGGAAAATGTCATCATGCCATGTCTGACCTTAGGTCTCTGGTTGGGACCCGGAAAGAAATGTGTACAAACCAGAAATCAAAGGAAATATAATAATAATAATAATAATAATAATAATAATAATAATAGTAATAATAATAATAATAATGCATAATGTTGCATGGTATTAGCATTCACCGACTATAAAACCCGGCATGATAGAGTGGGCCAATATCTGCACTGGCAAATCTGCAACTTTTACTGGGAGGAAGCTTCAAGAAATTGGTATGAACACCACCCAGACCCAGTTAGAGAGATAGAACCTGTACAATAGAAACAGACAGTACAATCAAAACTAATTACCCAGACATCGTGCTAAAAACCACAATAACAGAATCTGCTTTCTTATGGACATGGCTGTCCCTGCAGAATTAAATGTATCTTTGAAGAGCTTCAAAAAAAAAAACTATTAAAATACAAAAATCATGAAAAGAAAATCTAAAAATATCTGTCATATGAAGACATCAATAATTCCAGTTGTAGTTGGAGCCCTCGCTTTGATTGGAAAAGGTTCTGATAGACTCATTGAAACGATCCCTGCTAGCCTATGCCTTAAAGAAATACAAAAAAAATGTACTGACAAGTACAGTCCACACCTTACGAAGGGCTTTATCAATGTAAAATGTGTGTGATCTCAAGTTAAAAAGTTTTCATTGAAAACGTCATGAAGCCATTTTGTCGTTAGGTCTCTCGTTGGGACCTGGAAGAAAATGTGTATACAACAGAAATCAAAGGAAATAATAATTTCATTTTAATTGGATAATGCGTTTTGCGCCGCTGTGGTCATTACTCCCTGTATCTTACAATTGTGGTTGTTGGTGACATTCAACGCAGAATAGTACAATGGATTGCCGATCCCTTTTACATCACAGATGTTGAGGTTACCACGTTCCTCCTCTCAGAGGTGAACTTGTTTTTGAATTTACCTTCTTCTAGCCTTTACCTAAAGAGGCTATAGGAATCAGTCTGCCTTGCTATTTTACCGATCTCTATGGCTCTTCCCCCTTTCCCTCTTCCTCTATGCCACTCTGTCTCTCTTCCTCTCTTTCTATCTTCCTCTATCTCTCTATCTCTCTCTTCCTCACTCTATCTCTCTTCCTCAACTGCTCTATCTCCACCTTCTCTCTCTCGCTATAGGCAAAAGAAATAAAAGATTATTTTTTATTCTTACGGTCATATCACGTTCAAATACCAGTTTCCGTACAATTTACCGAAGTTAAGCCACGTCGAGCCTGGTCAATATGTAGATGGGAGACAGCTTGGGAATATCAGTTGCCCTGGATATGCAGGCGATGTAATGGCTAAAGGAGTTCCAATGGCTGGAGTTCCAATTCCAGTTGGATCCGTTATATTCACTTACGTGCAAATACCTTTTGCATCTTCTCCCCCAGCAATGGGTTAATTAGTAAGACTTGTAACGCTAAATCATTATTATTGCCAAAATAAATTAAATCTGAAATTCTTTTCTGACTTTACATGATTCGTTTTTTTCCGTTTTATCAACCCTTTGCAGTTGGATAAACCGTAAAAAAATCATACAAACAATAATTTTTTAATTATTTGTTTCTCAGACTGCTAAAATCTATCTATCTATCTATCTATCTATCTATCTATCTATCTATCTGTGTCAGCTTCTTTCTTTCTTTCTTTGTTTCATTCTTTCGCACACTCTTTCTTTCTTTCTTTCTTTCTATCTATCTATCTATCTATCTATCTATCTATCTATCTATCTATCTAAGTAATTTGTTTTTTTCCATTTTTTAATTCTTTGTTTCTCAGTCTGCTAAAATCTATCTATCTATCTATCTATCTATCTATCTATCTATCTATCTATCTTTCTTTCTTTCTTTCTTTCTTTCTTTCTATCTATCTATCTATCTAAGTAATTTGTTTTTTCCATTTTTTAATTCTTTTTTCTCAGTCTGCTTTCTATCTATCTATCTATCTATCTATCTATCTATCTATCTATCTATCTATCTATCTATCTATCTGTGTCAGCTTTCTTTCTTTCTTTTTCTTTCTTTCTTTCTATCCGTGTCAGCTTCTTTCTTTTTTATTTATATATATATATATATATATATATATATATATATATATATATATATATATACGATCATTTCAAATGTCCGAGCTCCATTTTATTGTTAATATAAAATAACCGGAACTTGACACTGTCGTAGTTTTGGTAATGATCTCTGATATGTTCTAGATTGAAACCTTTCCTTTCCTTTCTTTCCTTTCTTAAAGGTTAATCTCCTTCCTTTTTATCAATCTTTTTTTGCAAAATTTTTTTTTTTTCAAACTTTTTCTTTCTTTCTTTCTTTCTTTCTTTTTTTCCAGCCTGTTTATATCTCTCTATCTATCTATCTATCTATCTATCTATCTATCTAAGTAATTTGTTTCTTTTTTCATTTTTTAATTCTTTGTTTCTCAGACTGATAAAATCTATCTATCTATCTATCTATCTATCTATCTATCTATCTATCTATGTCAGCTTCTTTCTTTCTTTCTTTCTTTCCTTCTTTCGTAGACTGTTTCTATCTATCTATCTATCTAAGTAATTTGTTTCTTTTTTCATTTTTTAATTCTTTGTTTCTCAGACTGTTAAAATCTATCTATCTATCTATATATCTGTGTCAGCCTCTTTCTTTCTTTCTTTTTCTTTCTTTCATTCTTTCGCACACTGTTTCTATCTATCTATCTATCTATCTATCTATCTATCTATCTATCTATCTATCTATCTATGTCAGCTTCTTTCTTTTTTTTCTTTTCCCGCCTGTTTATCTATCTATCTATCTATCTATCTATCTATCTATCTATCTATCTATCTATCTATCCGTGTCAGCTTCTTTCTTTCTTTCTTTCTTTTTCTTTCTTTGTTTCCTTCTTTCGTACACTGTTTCTTTCTATCTATCTATCTAAGTAATTTGTTTCTTTTTTCATTTTTTATTTCTTTGTTTCTCAGACTGATAAAATCTATCTATCTATCTATCTATCTATCTATCTATCTATCTATCTATCTATCTATCTATCTGTGTCAGCCTCTTTCTTTCTTTCTTTCTTTCTTTTTCTTTCTTTCATTCTTTCGCACATTGTTTCTATCTATCTATCCATCTATCTATCTATCTATCTATCTATCTATCTATCTATCTATCTATCTATCTATCTATCTATCTATCCGTGCTAGCTTCTTTCTTTCTTTTATATATATATATATCAGATCATTTCAAATGTCCGAGCTCCGTTTTCATTGTTAATATAAAACAACCGCAACTTGACACTGTCGTTGTTTTGGTGTTGATTTCTGGCGTGATTCAGATTGAACATTTGCTTCGTTCAATTGCGAACCAGACTTTGTTGAATGTTGACGTTTTGTCCACAAATGAATGCTTTAAATTTGGAGTATAAAAGGTTGCACTTTCGCCATTTTATGCTCTATGAATTTCGGAAAAGAGTGAGCGACGAAACTGCGACAAAAACTGTCAGGCGGTTTATCTTGCTTTGGCAAATTTTCTCAGGGTGCTTTTAGTCCAAACTATCAACCATGTAGGAAACAAACCGAAATTGCCTCTCGCTATTTTAAAATCGAAAAAGTGTCATGTTCCACGACCACAACAAAAGACAGCATGTCGCGAAATAGACTTTGCAGAAAATGAAAGATTTGAAATGGGAAACCTCCCCAACGTCCACTATATTTTGATGACTTGGTTCATTCAGATTGTCACTTTTTCCGGTCTTTACAGAACAATTTAAATGATAAAAAAACTTGACCCTGTGTTCAGTGAACATTGAAGTCAACGCCTAGAAGCGACATGCTGTTTCATGCTAGGCTCAATCATCAGGCCGCGAATGTTGGATTTTTCTTCGACTATTTATATATATGTGTCAGTGGTGCATTGTGGGTAATCTATTCTGGCGGTTATTTTTGCGGGAGTGGCTTGTTTGTTTATTTATTTGTTTTTTTTTTTGGGGGGTAATTTATTTGTTTTTCATTTTATATTATTTATTCTTTTCGGTTTTTGATGTTTTATTAACGTAGTAAAAAAATGGTGGTTGGGGATTTGCTTAGGTCGTTTATTTAATTAGTCTGGGCCCGGGAAGATAATTAAGGCTCTTTATTCGTTCAATGTTTAGATTTATTGAATGATCTTTTGAATATGCTCTCTCTATTTTTTTTTTCGTTAACGCCCGCCTTCACATAGGAAAAATTTCCACTTCCCACCTATATAGTAAATATCCAAAAGCAAAATTGTTTGGTAAAAGTTTCTTACTATTTTGTTAACTGACTTTATGATGTAGTAGAAAACACCAAAGGAAGGTAACAAATAATAATGCTGGCGGCTGCTGCTGCTGCTAATACCGTTATTAAAGGACGAACGAAAGCAAACTTGACCATTGAAAACTACATGTAGAATTTAGTTTAATGATCATAGTTTTATGCTTAGGATTAGCATTGCAAGGGTTGACAAAAAAAAAATAACGATTTTTATTCATAACTAGCAGGAGAGCCCGGCGACAGAATCTTGAGTTATCGTAAGTTTTCAAATTGATTTTGTGCAAAACAATTGTGTTTTTCCCATTTTCGGCGCTGTCCGAACCACCGCAAGATAATTTTACGCAGTCCTATGAAGTTTTAATTTGAAATCGGTTGAAAAAAAATGTAGAAATCCGATCCAAAATATAAACGTACACACACACACACACACACACACACACACACACACACACACACACACACACACACACACACACACAACAATAATCTGTTTTATAATAAGTAAGATTATAAAATTAAAAAGAATATACACTACTAGCAACTAATAAAAATTCAGAGAATACTTTTTTGTTCTTGGTGTTCACTTCTCATTTATATTTGAAAAAAAAAACGTTATTTTCCCTGAAGAACAATTTGAATGTTAATGATCCTTCTCAAAATTATAGAAAATACCAAAATGTTCGCTGTTTGCAGACATATTTATATCTTATCTAAGAATGTGTTGTAGGTTCCAGGGATGGAATCCAGCACAAATAAATAAACAACGCCAGTAAATGAAATAGAAAAATATATGTATTAAACATAAGAATACAAACTTGAAATGAAGATTAGTAGTCCAGGAATGCGGGTTAGTAGAAAAATATATGTACAAGTCTCTGTAAGTGAAGCCGTAATTATCTCTCTTTCTGGACTCTCGTATAACTCTTGGTGAACACCCTGTCTCGACGTTTTTCTCACGCTATCTCTCCGTAGTATAAGTATACTTTGGACGAGTCCATCTTGTTGACAAGGGGCGAGCCCCACAATAGAATGTAACCCAGTTTTTTCTACATCGCCAAACAAAAGTTCTACCCGCCCACCATTTTCTGTTCAGCTGCCTACCCAACAGCTGAAATCGCCCACCAATAGTGGATATCGCCATGTTGGAAAATCCTGATCTAATAGATTACTTAAGCTCAAGAAAAGTAGCACGTAAACCATTCGTGTCGGATAGAGATTCAGATCTCCTTTTATAATATAGCAATACCCAAGAAACAGATCGACGCAACATAATCTTCCTATACCCAATTACCCCGTTTGACCATCTGTCAGAATCAGAAAGGTTATCAAATATTCATTAATGAATTCAGTTGTTTGATGAAGGATTGCTGCTGCGCGGTGCTTCACGAGTTATTATGGCCGATATTTTATAACGAGTTCGTTTCTCATTGGATGATCTATAAATAGTTATCTATAAACTTTGTCGCACGTCAAAATCGGCGTGGTGACCTTTCAAGCATAGGCTTAGAATAATTAAGTAATAATCAAGTTCGATGTTCGTCTTGTACAAGTTTGGATTTCAAAGAAAATAGGATGACGTGTAAAAGAAGAAGAAAACGACCGAAGGGATTTTACAGCGAAGAAAAAATGAGATGGACAAAGAAAAAGATAGATAGATAGATAGATAGATAGATAGATAGATAGATAGATAGATAGATAGATAAGAAAAAAGTGAGATAGATAGATAAGAACAAAGTGAGATAGATAAATAGATAGATAGATGAGATAGATAGATAGATAGATAGATAGATAGATAGATAGATAAAAGAACAAAGATGAGATAGATAGATAGATAGATAGATAATAGAACATAGATAGATAGATAGATAAATAGATAGATAAATAGAACAGACTGAGATAGATAGATAGATAGATAGATAGATAAATAGATAGATAGATAGATGAATAGATGAATAATAGATAGATAGAACAAAGTGAGATAGATAGATAGATAGATAGATATGAACAAACTGAGATAGATAGATAGATAGATAGATAGATAAGAACAAAGTGAGATAGATAGATAGATAGATAGATAGATAGATAGATAGATAGATAGATAGATATGAACAGACTGAGCTAGATAGATCAGACATATAAATAGACAGATAGATTAACAGACATATATTAATCGATAGCAACAAACACATACGTGGAAACGCGTCATTTATCAAGCGTTTCCACTTTGTCTCATCATCTCAAATTTTGTTCGAATGTTATTAACAAACACGCACATTCCTGATGTTTTGTACAATAGAGGTACATTCCGTATTTTTTTCTTTATTTACGATTGAGTTTCCGGGTCATTTATCTATCTATCTCAATCTGTTCATTATCTATCTATCTATTTATCTATCTGCAAGTGAATTTATTAAAAACAACTACTAAAATAGATATAAACGCATATAATTATCAATACACACGAATGCATCTATCTATCTATCTATCTATCTATCTATCTATATATATATATATATATATATATATATATATATAGGATTGTGATAAAAATAAGTAAGCATAATGCCTGTAATTTATTCAAACAGACATGACTCAAAGAGAATTTGCTGCCTAAATACACACCCACGCACGCACGCGCACACACACATGCGCACACACGCGATACACATATACACACACAAATTCATATATATATATATATATATAGTTTTAAGGTATGCTCTATTTACCGGTTAAAGTGGTCAATATCATGGATAGAGCGTATGTAAATATAAAAATGGATAGTGAGGTCAACACCCGGAGTCGACATGAAGATTGCGTTTAACATGAAACTGATTGTCGCCTCTGCGTGTTGACTTCAGTGTCCACTTCGAACTGAACCCTTTATTTCGCTCACTGGGGTAGACTCTTCTAGTTCCACGTGCCATGTCTAATGGGTGCCAGTTATCAGTTATCTCCTGTTAATTCCCCTCTCCAAATTCTCCATCGACTTAACCAGATATTGAACTCACACTTTTGGATCCTGTCACTGGATCTAACTAACGCCTTTATCCACTGTGCGAGTGGTAGTGGAAAAATCAGGCGTGGCTGATCACAAGAGAGAGAAAAGGGAGATTCACCGCCCTCTGTGGGATCAGGTTGAGATCATAGACAAAGAACATCATTGGGAAATTCGTAAACTTAAGGAATCAGTACATGTGCTAGGCCACAAAATTCCTGAGTTGACTCATGCAATATGGGAACCAGTAATAAGGAGTGCCAGAGAAAAGCGATAATAACAACAAAAATTGCAATATGAGCTATGGTGAAAACATGGAATGATAACAGCAAAAGTTGCAAAATGAGCACTGGTAAAAAAAAGGTTGCCTCAACCGATTTGGCCACAGAGGAGCATTCGGTTAACTGGGTCGATTTTACTGTTTTTAAACTTCAATCTTCCATGAATTCGGTTAAGTCACGTCAGGCTATATGACGGTCCCGTATAGGATACAGGTTCGAATCCTGTCGGAGGACGAATATCTTCTATGAAAATTTCTCGGACATTCAGTCCGGTAAATGTTGTTTAATACCGTTTATTATAAAACATAGCATTTACTTAAATATTTGTATTTATAAAAAGAATGTATAAACATAAAATGTAACTCAAAATAATTGTCGGACTGTGTCCATTTCATAATGTGTGACGTCATTTCTTTACATTTGGATACGCATTGAGCAGATATGAATGTACGTGGGAGAATCATGGAAGATTGTAGTTTAAAGACAGTAAATCGACTTTGCTAACCGAACGATCCTCTGTGGCCGAATCGGTTAAGGCACGTCAGGCTATATGACGGTTCCATATAGGATACACGTTCGATTCCTGTCGGAGGACGAATATTTTCTATGAAAATTTCTCGGACATTCAGACCGGTAAATGTTGTTTAATACTGTTTGTTATAAAACAGAGCATTTACTTAAATATTTGTATCTATAAAAACGAATGTATAACCATAAAAATGTCTTAAAACAATTGTCGGACTTTGTCCATTTCATAATACATATATATATATATATATAGATAGATAGATAGATATAGAGGGGGGCGTGTGTGTGTGTGTGTGAACATATACAGACAGTGATAAAGATATAGAGAGATATGAAGAGGAAGGGCGTGACGAACATTTCATATGAGAATAAACAGAAAGAAAATAAACAGAAAGAAAAGTAGAAAAATCAAGAACAAATAAAATATAGAACAAAAAACCTGGAAAAATGCAATAAAAAATTTATCAGACACACTTTATCGATTCAGTTTAGCAAAAGTTCTGCACCTGTCTCATTTATAAGTCTACCATTTGTCCATGCATTTAATATTTCAATCAGATTTTTTTTTTAAGCATTGCGCCCCGAGCAAGGCGGGAAGCCACTAGGATGCAGTTGGGTTGCAGAAGATTTGGAGCAAGAGCAGAGAGGAGTGATAGAAGAAAGGATGAAGAGAAGGATAGTGGATAAATCAAGGCAACTGGAGATGTCGATTGACATTACATTTGAATGGTTGGAGATTATAGCTCTCAGGGAAACAGTAATAGGGAAGGGTGTTCCACAGGCGAGAGGTGCGAGGTATGAAGCTATTGGAGTAGAAGAGACGGCTATATTTAAAAGTTTCTACAGTGAAAGGGTAGGAGCGGGATGCCAGGAGATTATAGCTCTCATGGAAACAGTAATAGGGAAGGGTGTTCCACAGGCGAGAGGTGCGAGGTATGAAGCTATTGGAGTAGAAGAGACGGCTACATTTAAAAGTTTCTACAGTGTAAGGGTAGGAGCGGGATGCCAGGAGATTATAGCTCTCAGGGAAACAGTAATAGGGAAGGGTGTTCCACAGGCGAGAGGTGCGAGGTATGAAGCTATTGGAGTAGAAGAAACGGCTACATTTAAAAGTTTCTACAGTGTAAGGGTGAGAGCGGGATGCCAGCCTCGTAGGGCGCTTGAATTCATGGCGTCTGGGAACCAGTGAAAGCAGCTCATCGGAGCAATTACCATGAAAGTATTTGTAGAAAAGACAGAGAGAGGCGACGGCGCGTCTGTGAGAGAGTGACTGTAGACGAGACGCCAGATCAGGGCCAATTATATTACATATCCGTCTCTGGATCTTGTCAAGAACTCCGAGGTAAACAGAAGGTGCACCAGACCATACATGGCAGCAATATTCCATGTAAGGGCGAATGGTTGATTTGTATATTTGAAGTATCGATTCCGGGGAGAAAAATTTCCTGGCGCGGCACAGACAGCCAAGCTGATTCATCTTCTATATATTTAAAAATTCTTGTTAACATCCAAAGAAGAATCTGCAGTGTTATTGGTTCTGACCTGGCATCTCAGCATCAATCATTTACCCACCGCTGTAATGTAGATCCGTCTTGCCTTTTCTCTCTATATATTTTCATGGTAATTGTTCTGATGAACACATGGTCCCTAGAGTTTTTGAACTTAAGCGCAGTACTAGATTGGCGGATAGCGCCCACCATTTTACAGTTTAAAAGACTATATGTAACAGTAACTTCGATGCAAACAGTTTCCTTTCTCGCACCGCTCGCTTGTAGAACTTTCTCCCGGATTCTTACTTCCCAGTCAAAATTGATCTTTAAAATTTAGATGCAATGTCAATCGTTATCTTCTGTTTTCTTAACTCCTGTTCTTTTATTGTCCTCTCTCCTTAATAATGTTTTTTTTTTTTTGCTTTTTTTCATATTCTCCCACACTAACCTCTTGCATTCTAGTGGCTTTATTGCCTTAGTTAAAGTGAAACGATCTATCTATCTTTGTGCGTCTGTGTGTATTTTTCTAATTTTTATAGGTGTACTTTGGTTGTTTGTGATTTGATGAGCGATATCTGTACGAATTGCACTAAGTTACCACAAGTTACAAGTCAATCTACGAGATAGTGTAAGAATTTAATATTGTTTTGGAATTAATGATATTGAACCTATATATATATATATATATATATATATATATATATATATATATATATATATATATGCAAGTTTCATTGATTAAGACAGACAAGGTGGTTTGATTTAGATTTGTATAGAAATTCTCATGTGATCTTATAATTTTTCTTTTCGGAGGATAAATTATATAAAACTGTCCAATTGTTCTCTCTTTCCAAGCGCTTTCGGATATACATTTAGCCATTTTCAAGGTTGAAATATATTAACTGTTAACAAGAAATAGATTGTTGTATGTATGTATTTATATAATGTATTCATTTTCAAAACACAGTCAAGATATTGTGTCCAAAACTTTTTAAAAAAGGAAAAAATTATAAGATCACATGAAAAATTGTATAAAAAAAAATAAATCAAAGCACCTTGTCTGTCGTATTCAATGAAACGTGCGTGAAAAAAGGATTGATGCCTAAATACACAAATTATATATATATATATATATATATATATATATATATATATATATATATATATATATATTGGATAGATGTGAGTTTGTGACCTGGGTTTCACACGCTTTAGCGATCGTACGATCGCTAAAGCGTGAAACCCAGGGTCACAAACTCACATCTAACCAACCAAATATGTTAGCTTTCATCTCTGATATTGAGCGCTTTCTTATAAGTACCAAAGCGTATAATATATAAATAATTATACATACTTGTATTTATTTATATTTATATACACTTTTCACACACACACACACACACACACACACACACACACACACACACATATATATATATATATATATATATATATGAGGGACTCCCGTTGACCTTGACGTATAAGACAACCTCGTTCAGTTTTTATGTTTGTGTCGTATGTGACACATCAGTCACGCTTGTAACCTGTATACAAGTCTATATATTGTTCAACGACGAGGACCTCGGGATATAGCAATAGGAATATTTGTTGACGCTTTTTGCTGTTATCTTTCGTCTCTAAGCCGGTCAATACGACTGATTTAGAAATTTCTGATACCATTCCAACACAAATATCTCCAGTTATTTCTATCCAGGGCTCGAAGTTAGTATATTATATATATATATATATATATATATATATATATATATATATATATATATATATATATATATATATATTAAGAAATATAGTTTCAAGGTG